CGCCCCCCCCCCGCCATTCTAAAGCGTATTCTTCCTACCCCCCCCGCAAGAGGTGGTGCCACGCGGATGTCAAGCCGTGTCATGTCATGTCTTCATTTCCGCAGAAAAAAAGACAGCAATTGCAGTCGTGGCAAAGCAAGCGCGTCGCCCAAAACATTTACGAGGTGCGTTTCTGCCTACATCTCCGTACAAATACGCAAAACGGCGGAAATAGGCGCGGAGATGAAACAACTCCACCCCCACGCCCCTCCCCTCAAATGAGATGTGAATTACTTCATGAAAACCAGGGTGGGGGCGGTTTCTTGCGCAACAACCTCACCTCAAGGTTTTCTTGTACATGCTGCAGGCGTTTCTGGAGGGGGTGGAATGAGATGGTCGTGAGCGAAAACGGGACGAAGAAGGCGGTCGGTCGGAAAACGATCCTTATTTTTAGCCTTGTGGACCAGTCTCTAAAAGTGGAAACGGTGCTTACGCGAGCGTGCGCCAACTTGGCAAAGCCCGCGTTGTAGTTTCGTTCCGTTGGCATTTTCGAGAGATGCGTTACGTTGTCCTTGGAACATGCTCGAAAAGAACACACACCATCAAGACGCGATCGAAGCGAACACTGCTGCTGCTATGTGGTCGTTCGTGTACTACATGCTATAACGCGTGAGCGCTTCGTTTCTTTCGCGAGGAGAAATACTCCCGTGGGCTCGACAACCAGGCAACCCTGCTGCCGTTGCCGCGCCGCACCGCCCGCTTGCTGGATTCCTTCGTGCAATCACTAAAGCGCGTGCATGTTCACATACATAAACCCATCACCGACACACCTTTCGCTGAACAAACCTCTGGCTACACGCCGGGAGAGAAGGAAGACCGGCTTCTGGAGGCCAGAATACTAACTCTTACAACAGCAGTCTTCCTCTTGAGGCCAAAGAAATAACGAAACTCTATTACAGAAAATAAGAACGCAAGTCTTACAGGAGTAGACTGTAGATCTACCTTTTTAGTCCTGAGCTCTCGTACACTCTCCCGAGCGTCGCGCTCATCTCCGCCGTCCTCGCGAACTGCAGGATCGCCTCCAGCGCCGGGATGGCCGTGCCAGGCTCGCCTCCGGCGATGAGGCACTGCGCCTCCATGAATTTCAGCTCCGCCACGGGCAGGTACTCTTTCTGGTGGCTCAGATAGGGGAACAGTGAGCAGTGCGCGTATTGTGGAAGCGGCGTCAGGAGTTGCAACGCAAGAGAGCAGCAGCAGCAGTAGCAGTGGTTGCGCGGGGCAGTTGGTGTCGATAGCGGTCGAGCTCTGTTGTAGGAACGCAAAGAGGGCACTGCTGCGTGAGAGGATACAAAGTCACGGGGAAAATGTCCACGGGTTTAGGAGCGGACTAGGAGGCGTTGGTTGCTGCCGTTTTGCTGCTTACCTTGCAGTCATGTCCATTTACCAAGCGTGATCGACCACGAATAATTCCTTTCGGTAAGTTGCACCACCCCCTTCCCTAACATTATAGACACACCGCCGACAGATGAGGCTCCCTGAATTTTCCTGCCGCTGTCGTGCCCACACCGGGAACTCTTGTTTCTCTCATCTCCTTCCCTCGTTACCACTGCTGTGTCGGCATCCACTCTTGCGCTCAGACAGTTTTACCCCAACACCCCCAATGATGTTCATTGCACCAAACTTGTCCGTGTCTGCTTCCACCTTCTCATGGACACCTTCTTCTTTGCCTGTTTATTTCACGTCGCCCAGGCATGGGATTTTCTATCGCTTTGTCCGACTTGCCGCAGGTGGGGGCGGGAGGGGAGGTCACGTCAACTCATCAACTCGACGTCGCCCACACCTGTGCAAACTTGGCATGAATCGGCGGGAATCGCCGACCATGTTGCATCTACATGTCGGAGTATAAAAGCACAAGCTGTGGATACACACGAACTGGGAGAGGCAGGAACAACCCTATGAATTGCAAATGGGCCTACGTAGGTAAACAGGCAAGCGCAGAAGTGAGGCAACCAGGCAATCACGACACAGCAGCAGCATGAGCGCCTACGCCAAGCAAATTTGGCGCCAGCACCACGCCTAGCACTCACGCCGAACGCACTGGCTGTACACACCTGGGACGTCGTAAGGTTCGCTGTCCGATCCACGCCCGACCCGGCGCCCCCCGCCTGCGCCACCCCTCCTCCTCGCAATCCGCTTCTATCTCTCCGCCGGTCCGCCCAAGATGTGTACGGTTGTTGTTCTTGTGGTGGTGGTTGCTGCTGCTGCTGTTGCTGCTGCTGCGAGGAGCCGCCCACCCCAGCAGACGCCGGTCGCGGCGGGGGCGGGGGCGACATGAATGCTGATCCGGGCGAGGAGGCTATCTCCTTCTGCAGCTGGCGATGCAGCAGAGATTGCTTGTAGTACGCCTGTGTTATGCGTTTCATGGGCGTTTTTTTTCGCACAAAGCGGTTTGGGTTTACTCGAGAGTTGCTTCAGCGTGCCTGTACTTCCAGTCAGAATTTTGTGCAAGAAAGAGGTTGGGAGAGAGGCGCGGGGGGCTTGGAAAGAAGAGAGTACATGTTGGATTCGTGCTACCTGGAGAGATCAATTGCGTGGGGCACACGATTTACAATTTACTGCTTGTTGCTGCTGTCCTATGGTTACTGCCTTGCGGCGCTGGATTGCAACACAATCGTGTCCGCGTGCCGGAAAACCTATACCAAACCATGAACAACAACAGCTTGTTGGCAAAATGTAGGCATTATCTATGCGGCATTCCCGCAAGGAGCCTGTGAAAGGCAAAATGAGCAATAACAAATAACTCGCGGTCAAAAGCTTCTCCAGGGGGGGCCTGACGTGTCTTCTGAAGGGGCAAGATGAATTAGGTCTCTCCATACAACCAACCCCAGTAGGTTTACATCAGCAGTTGATAAGTTGGAACGTGTGAAGCTCTCTCTCCTTGCAACAGCACGTAGTCCCCACTACTGCTGTAGATCGCCCGTGCCTACGTTCACAAGCTGCAGTTCATCGGTTGCAGCACATATATCCACATCGTAGAAGTGGTGTGCCGCGTGCAGCACAATCAACGGTGTGCGACACAAAAAAGAACGGAACAAAGTAACCACATCCCACTGATCGTGCACAAGTCCATCCCTCCGGCTCCCTCGCTTATAATAGATGCCGTAATCCCTCCGTACCGGTGGCCCTCTCCCCGATCTCAACACCAACGCCCGTTGAACATTGAACAACGAGCGGCTGTTCTTCAGACCATACGAACATTAGGAACTCTGCGTAAACCTTACAACACCAACATCCCCCATACTATCATTTGCACGCCCTCTCACCGTGGCTCGCTTGTGTTCACCACGGCCCTTCAACGCATCGGCGAACATCGACAGAGCCTCGGCGTGCAATCCGGCATGTTGGGAAACGCTCGCCCGTGACAGCAAGATACCTCCAACAATCTCCGCCGAGTGGAACAGCTTCTCTCTCAGCAAACCTTCCACCATATCAAACAGGACCGTAGCATCGTCTTGTGCAACTCTTTCCATCACTTCTTGCGCTAGCACCACCAGCACGCCCGTCACTGGATACGAACCAAAGCCCACGCAGTTCACCGCCGCTGCAACAGCACTGAGCAGACAGCGGCACAGACAGCAGCAGTCACACAGGGTGCTCCGCAGAATCATCGATCGGGAGTTCAACCAGGTTCTTGAGCGTTCGGAAGTTCGAAAATCCCGCCGCGTATCGAATATCCTGGAGAGTTCAAGGCGTAGGCGCGCGTGCACTTCCTCTTCGCCTGCATCTGTTACTCCCTCTCCCCACACCGCTTATCACCCCACACGCGATACACACATACTTTATCGCCACCCAGACCTCTGAGCTACCATGAAAACCACCTTTGCCGCTCTCGCCATGTGTGGAACAACCTCTGCATTTGTAACCCCCAACGCTGTGAAGGCGCTGGCGCCCTCGACGAGAGCGTCCTCGCCGCTGTCGATGGAATTTGCGGGTGGGATGCGAGGCGCAGACGGACCGGAGCCGAACTCTAAGAACTTCGACCCTCTTGGATTATCTGAGGCCCGACCTGAGAACCTCTTGTTCTTCCGGGAAGCAGAGATCAAGGTGAGACGAAAACGGCATGCATGATCTTTTGGTTTCAAACAACAACAGCAGCAGCGTTGGTTGTTCTCTCTTGGCTCTGCTCTAAAATGCGGAGAGTCGGCTTTCTATTGACTCGCTCCACGCTTCCCGAGAAGGTTGGACGTGTGTTGGTTCTGTAGAAGAGTAGCTCACCCGTGCCAGATGTGTTGGACGAACGTCTAAACGTTTTCAATTAGCATGCTGTGTGTGATGTATCGGGGGTGTATCCTTCATCGCTGGGGTTTTCAGGGTACACGTCACCTCCTCTGAAAGAACGATTTGTTGTGATTGGAGCGTTCATTCAGGAGCCCGCGCGGGCGCACCTCGGCAACGATCTTGCCGGTTTAGACACTAGTGTGACTGTTCCCTGTCTGGGTAGGGGTCACACGTAGGCCTTGTGTCGTCGCATGTGCGTTGCAGCGAAGTAGGTTCCGGGATAGTTTTGGTGAGCTGCCCAATCCCCGAAAACTTGTTCGAAGCAGAGGAGCAGCTGGCCTCCGGAATGTCTTGAAGATGTAGAGATAGGATTCACAGCAACACATTGAACGTGTACCCTGATCATACATCCTCACAGGACAGGCACATCTCTGTATTGCGGATTGGGACGTGCGCTAATCGGCGACCCCTCACCCGGCATAATGGCGGTGGTATCCGAGATTACCGTGCTGGAATACGGGTGGGGGGTGCCGGTGTGTCCCGCGCGTCTCATTTGCTAGAGGATCACGGGCATGAATATTTCATACCGAGCCTTGGTTCCATCTGCCTTTTTGTTCATTCGAGCCGAAATAACTTCGCCACTAGAATTCTATTGGGGGGGGTTGTGGGTAGGTTACAAGGGGGAACGATATTCTCACGCTCGTCATTCTGTCCATGCCAATGCCCATTTGCGTGCATCAATCATCAACTCAAGCCCCCCTGATGCTGAAGGCCAGCGGCCTTGCCTCCCTCGCCTCCCGACGGCGTGCCTGTACGCTGCGTCTGCGTTTGTTCAAATGGCACTGACCGCGCTAAACGGCTACCAATGCAATGAAACGATGTGTGTGTGCCCCATTTTATGCGGGCCCCGACTTTTTGTTACCCTTTCGGTAGTTACAGGCGCACCACCAGGGTCAGGGTATGCAGATACCTCGAACAATAGCGTCCATGGGTGACGGCCATCTTCAAATGGCAGAACGGAAATTTCAGCCGCGCTCACACCATCGACCACAAAACACAATGCTGCCCTCACCTACGAACGTAATGTACTTGTCGCTGACTTTGATGCTTTGCTTGGTGTATCTATTTGCTCCTTCGTCCCTTGAACAGCACGGTCGCATCGCCATGCTTGCCATCGTCGGCCTGATCGTACCGGAATTCGTCCGCGTGCCGGGAGAGATCTACCAGAACGTCTCGGTCCTCGACGCTCACAACGCCATGGTGAGTGTGCCGTGTTTTTCTGCTCTCTTTTTGTGTCAGCATTTGCCTGGTACAGCAGTACCTCGGGAGAGAAGGCCTCCATGGCGCGATATTTATGTTGTGGTGTAAGGGATTGTTGTGATGCCTGTTGCTGCTGCTGTCAAGTTGATATGACTACCGCTGTTTGTGGCCAACGTATACGAGATTAGTTCTTGTCTACTCCAACCATAACCGGTTGACAGCGATCGGGTGGAGGAAAATGCTTGGAAGCTTCAGCAGAGGGAGGGCCTGTAACTCATCGAGTCCTTGTCAGCGGTGTTGTCCTCGACGGTTCATTTTTCTTGTTTTGGTGTAATTTCCCACGAAACTGTTATCGGTACGACCGCGTCACAAAATGGGATTGTTGGGAGCCTAGAGTCTATTACAGTGGACGTACAGCAAGCAGCACGGTACAACATTTGCGACCGTGTGTGCCGGGTAGGGAAAAGCAACCACGGCCACACTTGTGGCGTGATACGTGAACAGAACCCACAAGATCCCGGTCTTGTTTGGCAAAACGTGTTCCTCATATTCATGTGTGTCGACGCCTTCCGCGGCGCCAGTGCTCTATTTTCTCTCCCCTTCCAAGTTGCCCTCTGTAGATGCCTCCATCTACCTCCCGAACTAGTTTCGCAAGTGTTGTTGCCGTTGGGCTCTGAATAAATCTCACTGCTGGAGCGCTGCATGGTCTAACGTCCACGTTTGCACCCGCCCGCAGGTGGAGAAGGGCCCCATGTGGCAGCTGCTGTTCTGGATCTGCTTCGCTGAGATCATCCTCTTCCCCACCGTCATCGACATGGACAAGAAGGACCGCGAGCCTGGAGACTTCGCCCTCGACCCCCTGAACCTCTGCAAGGTGAGGCGATGAGCATGGTTTCGACGTTGGTAGGTGTGTGGGTGAACACCTTCGAGTTGCTCCTCTGCTGCTGCTGGTGGTTCGCGTTGTTCGGTGTGTTGTTCCCTTGATGCGTTTGACTCTGAATGTCACCCCCTGCTCCCTCCATCCGCTTGTTTTTTTTCGCTTTTGCCTCCGGTCGTCCTGCAGACCCCCGAGAAGACAGAGAAGTACAAGCTCGCGGAGCTCAAGAACGGCCGTTTGGCAATGATGGCGGTATCGGGCGCCCTGACGCAGATGGCGATGTACGGCCACGGATTCCCGTTCTTGGCGTAGACTACTTGAACTCGGCCGTTGTTGTTTCGGTCCCTCTTGCTCCGGTTTCAAGACAAAGGAACCTTATTTAGTCAGATGTTTGGGCAAGGACGGGCGGATTTCGCCCGCAATCCGCGCCGTTGCTGCTCCTTCCGTCACCTTTCGTTTCCCCGTGTTCTTCCGTCCGTTCCTTTGTTCTGACGTGGCTGCTGCCGAGACTGGCTCTTGCCGCTCATGTTCGATTTTTTCTTGTTCTGCAAGAGAAATTTTGGAGCGTGAGTTGGGTGGGCTTTCGATCAAGACGTGTATGTATAAAGATAGCCTTAAGAGGATCCGCGGTATGTAGAGAAAACTAGAGAAATGAGTGGCTTTTAACAGCGCCGACACGTCAAGCAGCGACGGCCGACGCTGAATTTGTGTTGCCTATGGGCAGCTTTATGCTCTTATGGCGCACGTAAGGAAACAGTTGATGGTGTATCCAGTGAGCTGCAAGGCACGCGAGGAGTCATCCAGTACTAGCCTCGGGCTAGTACGTAAGAGGTAGGCGAGAGGGAGAGAGAGATGGCGTGGTAGCAAAGGGTTTAGGCAGCAGGCCTGGTCGCTCCTGCTTTGCACCAAAATTGAATCCAAGCTCATTTGATTTTGTCTTTTGTCCTTCGTCCTTCGGTATCGCATTCGACGGATGTGCCGTCTCGTGCTATAATTTTCTTCCTTTGACTACGTGACATGTTGCGTCGAGTGGAGCACCTCCTTTACCTCGCCTAGATTGACCTTGCCGCTTTGAGGCACGGGTAAAGGGCTTTTCGCGTGTCCGGACATGAACATTGAAGCCATTGCACTAATTTTTGAAGCGCTCTGCGGAGTTCTCGCCGGCAAATTCAAAATGTGTTGCGTAGCTCCAGCGTCCCGCCTTTATCAAGGCCAAGTGTGCATGGCCGTAAGCAAGTGGCGTACGACAGAACACAGTACACCTCGCCTCGCCTGGACGATTGCCAACCGTAAAATTCCCTAATAAAACACGTTTGCCACTTGTCGATCAAAAGATGGACACCACATGTTGGCAGCTGCGAGGAAGAGCAACAGGGCACCGCTGCGAACGATATTCGAAAAAGTGGCCGTTGGGGCAAGTTGGGGCTTGCTATCGCTGACGGACAGATCGTCCTTGGCCAGGAAAGCATTCGCTTTTCGGGGTACGTACTCTTTACAGGTCGAGAACAAAAAAGTTTCGGGAGTGTTCGCGGCTGCTTGCTGTTGTGGCACGTCCTTTTAGAAACCATTCATTTGGGGAAGTACAGAACCCGCCACCACTTAAGAACCGCTTATTTAGCTTGAGGCTCGACGCTTATTGGTTACCTCCAACCGAGCACATGTTCTTACTTTCCAAGTTCATATTTGGAGCAGTTATCCACCTATCGTGAAAACGGGGTGTTTGTTCGTATTTCTAAACCGATTGCCCTATGCAGAGGACACAGACAGACCGGTATTCTTGGATTTCACGAGACACTACTGCAACGTTCTTCGAGGGCTATGTACGGCAGCTCGAGAAGAGCCGCGAGGGGGATCAGGCGGGTTTCTACATGCACCTGAAGATGATCGGCGTCGAAGATAAGAGGTCGTTCACCTCTCAGAACATCAAGGACGAGGACGGCAAGGTCCTTCGGGACCCCACGTTAATTCGCCAACGGTGGGCACGGTGGTTCCACAAGCTTCTTCTCAACACCGAGTCGCCGACCATCGACCTGCATGCGGCTGACAAGGTCAGGCGGTGGCCCACGTGCTTGCCACTCGACGACATCCCATCTCTACTCGAGGTTGAGGAACCGGTACGAGAAATGGCCAACAGAAAGGCCGTCGGGCCGGACGACCTACCGACTGAGTTGATCAAGCTTTTTTTCCTGGACGGAGATCAAGGTCTCCTCCGCGAATTTCACGCCATCGTCGTGGACGTGTGGCAGACGGGAGACGTACCACAGCAGTGAGTGGAAGGATGCCACCATCAAAGTGCTATCCAAGAAGGGGGACACGATGGAGTGCGGCAACTACCGGGGCATCTCTCTCGTCGCACACGCCGGCAAGGTGCTGCTTAAGGTCGTCGCTACACGACTGAGCCACTACTGCGAGCGAGAGGGCATCCTCCCGGAGGAGCAGAGGAGCGGTTTCCGCCCACACCGGTCGACGCTTGACATGCTGTTCGCGATCCAGCGGCTCCATGAGCTCGCGAGGAAGAAGAGTACTGCGGTGTTCGCGTGCTTCGTCGATCTCACCAAGGCATACGATTCGGTGGACCGAGACCTACTGTGGGACGTGCTCCGACGCTTCGGCGTGCCCCCGAAGATGCTGGCAGTCATTCGCCACTTCCACGAGGGCATGAGGGCGCGCGTCCGAACGGACGACGGGTAGTACTCGGAATGGTTCGACGTGGGCCAAGGCCTCCGACAGGGATGCGACCTGGCCCCGCTGCTGTTTAACTTGTTCGTTTCCGCGATGCTCATGGTCGCCGTGGCCGAGTTCGACAAGGACCCCAAGGTGACGGCGGACATGGTCGAGATCGGGACACAAGTGGAGTACAAGGGCAAGAAGGGCAGGTCAGCGGGGAAGAAGACGACGGTGGTGACGGACGCGGAGGCCTTGTGGGCCATGCTCTACGCTGACGACGCGGCCATCGTCTCGCGCTCGCCGGAGAGTCTCGAGAAGATGATGTCGGTCATCGTGCGCGTGGCCGGCCCGTTCGGACTGATGGTGTCGGAGCCAAAGACAGAGATCATGTGCATGCTGCCAAAAGGGATCGAGGAACACCCGTTCACGGTCAGCGCCGCCGGCCAGACGTACAAGCAGACAGATCGGTTTGTGTACCTCGGACGTACCATCTCCGCGGACGGGAAGGCCGACCGGGAGATCACGAGCCGCAGCTGCCGAGCGTGGAAGTGCTACCGCCGGAACAGTGCTTCGATGTACGACAGGCGACGGGCCCACCGCCAGCTCAAGATCCGGCTACTCCAGGCTGACGTGGTGGAGACTCTCCTGTACGGGTGCGCCTCGTTGAGCCCAACAGCGGAGCACTACACGAAGCTCAATGGGACCCACCGTCAGTACCTTACACGGTGCATTGGCTGGAGCAAGCGGAAACGCTCAGACCGCCCCCTGTCCTATGCCCAGGCCCTCATCCAGGCAGGCTGCGAGGAAACCATCGAGGCCACCGTGCGCAAACGGAGACTGTGTTTCGCGGGCTTCGTTATGCGCATGGAGGACAACCGCCTCCCCAAGCGCATGCTGTTAGGAGCGATGGCGGGGGGCGTGGGATACCGTGGCGGGCAGGAGATCGACTGGGTGTCTCGTCTAGGAGAGGACCTCGTGGCCTTCAACATGGGAGACGAAAAGGAAGGGGGGGATGGAAAGAGAGCGCCAAGGACCCGGAGGTGTGGTACAACAAGGTCGAGGACGGGGCGGCATGGTTCATGAGGAAATGACACAGGCAGGAGGCGGAAGCGTCCGCGAAGCGCCAGCGCGCGAGGGAAGCAGGAGCAGAGAGTACGGCCATCTCAGGACCGAAGAGAAAGCGAGTCGGGGAAGCGGCGGTGGGGGGGAAGAAACGGCGACCGGGCACCACTGCTGCTGTAGAAGCGAGTAGGGCGGCCGAGGCAGCACTTGTGGCGAACTATTTTTTTTTTAACGATGTATCCGGCTGATGTTGTTGCGCCCTGTTTCCCTCCCTGCTGCATGCCATTCTCCTTGGTGTATGTCCATTCTATTGCCTTCGGCCTCTGTGCTGTGCTTTCTTTTTTGTATGTCTCTGCCTACTCTGTCTTTTTCGGTACCTTTAGACCATCTCCCCATTGCTGTTGCTTTTGTTTTTATACATACATCTGGCTGTCTGCCCATCTGCCGCCTCTTTGTTTTGTTGGCTCCGTTACTCCCATGCCCTGGTGCGTAGTAGTGCATCGTGCTGGTACGTTACCCTTTCATTTATTTTTTATCTTAATTCGTGTTGATCGATTTCCGAGGGCTTTTCTCGACCGGTCGGTGCGGTAGCTGTTCTTTTCTTTCTATCATTTTGTTTTCTTTTTCCGAGTGGTTTGTACCCTTTTTTTGTTTTGTTTCCCCTCGGCGTCGTATGTGCCGGGTTTTGAGACCACGGGCTCCCCATTTTTTGTGGACTATAGAGTTAATAATGTGAGAAACAACAACAACAACTACTACTACTACTACTACTACTACAACTAACTGCTGCTGTAAGAGTACAATGAAGCCGTGAAATCGCCCCCTAGATGGCAGTACATCATGCACGGTGGTATTGGAGAGGAGAGGTTGCCGAGAAAAGCTTAGGAGGCTACAAGTAAGTGGGCAAACAAGAAGGATTGGTGTACCAACCAACGGAGTGAGTTTGTGTTGTGGATGACGCATGGAAGGGGGTCGAAATTGACGAAGATGATACACTGGAGAAAGAAGGTCTAGAGGGGTTCAAGGAGAATGTATTTGTTGTTGATTTTGCCGAGAGAGGACAGAATGATTGTAACAAAGAAACCAAGGATACGTACGGAGGGTATCGATGTTATAAGGTCCTGTCTCAGCCAGGTAAATGGTTAACCTTTTACCGGGTGGTGGCTGAGTGGACTATCTCCTTAACATATGGCGCCGTCGGCAGGACATGTCGGGAATTCGAATCCCGACTTGTGCACTTTCTTTATTTTCTGATTCGAAAAGAAACAAGAGAAAGAACTTGTGCGTGAAAGGAGAACACACACTCATTCGCATGTAAAAATACTAGCGGAAAAAGCATCCTCCCTACCGTTTGAAGAAGGTCGGCGACCCTACGTTGGTGGTCCTGGGGATTACTTCCCGCTAGGTTTCAGTGCTAGAGAGTGTTACGAGGCCCTGCCTCAGCCAGGTAAATGGTTAACCTTTTACCGGGTGGCTGAGTGGTCCACCTCCTTAACATCGATGTGTACGGAATATTAAAGAAGGAATTAGATTTAAGGAGTACCTACTACGTGGATGGGCAAGATGCAGGGACAAAGCTGAAGAAGGTCAAACCTAGGACTTGGGATACGGGCCTTTGAGAACGTAGGCGAAGATTAAGGAAGGTAGACGATTAAGACGACAAATCCAGATGTGATTGCGGCTACGAGAGCGAAGACCATATTCATTCATGTACTTGTGGGATGTCCGTGCAACAAGGACAGGGCGTGAATGTTGTACATGACGGAGGTAGTTGGGAAAAAAAGTAGAAGGAAAAGGTACAGAGAGAGATGTTTGACGAATGAATGTAATAGCCAGGAGAAGACGGTGGTGACTGTACTGGGGCATAGGAAGTGGGTTGAAAAGGCGGGAAGTGATGATATGGATAAGGTAGATCGGCGAGGGAGCTTTAGCCACGTTTGACGAACAATGTTCTTCGAAGTGGGAAGGAACGATTGGTATCATCATCAGCGATGATCGATCCTGCTCAAACATTGATGCGTCCTCTCGAGGACGTTGGTCAATGGTCTACATGCGACACATGAGAGAGAGTACGCCCTCCCCCTCTGTGCGAGCATTTTATCACGAGGTCCTCTCCCCCCCCCGGGCTCGAATCTGAAACCTACTTTTGCTGTTTGGGTCACCGCCATCCTCCTGAGTTCTTACTATCTTCTTGCAGCCGCCGCGTTTCGGGCTCCGTTCTCATCTGTATGCGCATTGGTACACCGTAAGGGCGGGTTATTACCACGTCGGAAGTGAGCATGTGTTTTTCGGCCAAGTTCTTAATTGTTGGATTGTTCGAGGCTCAAGTTCTTAACTGGTAAGAAAGCTCTTACGTGATGGCGTGTTCTGTATGTAGTCTAAGTTGCCTCTCTTTCCTACAAAATATGTGAGGTCTATTTACACTCTGATAGTGACTCTTTAGGTCGAACCGATGTTGCGATTTTGCAAGGCTAGGTTCTTCACGCGAGCAAGGCTAGGTTCCTCACCCCACATCTACCCTAACCCTAACCCTTACCCTCACCCACGGCCAAAGCACGGCCTAGCGGTCGCGAACTGGTCGAGAACGCGGCTGCGCCGCGTTCTCGGAATGCGGAACAGCGAGAGGACGCTGGAGAGGGTCGAGCCTAGGAACCAACGCCGGACCAATCAGAGGGCGTGGAACCGCTTAGATAGGAAGAGTCATTAACAGGTTGCAAAAATCACTGAAATATCTCGAACGGGTAGGTATTTTCTTCTAAATAGGTTGTTGTTGTTGTTGTTGTTTCTCACGTTAGCTCTATAGTCCACAAAAAATGGGGAGCCCGTGGTCTCAAAACCCGGCACATACGACGCCGAGGGGAAACAAAACAAAAAAAGGGTACAAACCACTCGGAAAAAGAAAACAAAATGATAGAAAGAAAAGAACAGCTACCGCACCGACCGGTCGAGAAAAGAGCCCTCGGAAACCGATCAAAAAAAAAACATAGATAAAGGAGGACGCTTCCCACGCCCGCCTAAAGAAAAAATGAAAGGGTAACGTACCAGCACCAGGCACTATGACGCACCAGGGCATGGGAGTAACGGAGCCAACAGAACAAAGAGGCGGCAGATGGGCAGACAGCCAGACGTATAAAAAGAAAAGCAACAGCAAAAGCGAGATCAAGGTACCCAACACAGCAGAGTAGGCAGGGACATGAAGAAGGAAAGCACAGCACAGAGGCCGAAGGCAATAGAATGGACATACACCAAGGAGAATGGCATGCAGCAGGGAGGGAAACAGGGCGCAACAACATCAGCCGGATACATCGTTCAAAAAAAAATAGTTCGCCACAAGTGCTGCCTCGGCCGCCCTACTCGCTTCTACAGCAGCAGTGGTGCCCGGTCGCCGTTTCTTCCCCCCCACCGCCGCTTCCCCGACTCTCTTTCTCGTCGGTCCTGAGATGGCCGTACTCTCTGCTTCTGCTTCCCTCGCGCGCTGGCGCTTCACGGACGCTTCCGCCTCCTGCCTGTGCCATTTCCTCATGAACCATGCCGCCCCGTCCTCGACCTTGTTGTACCACACCTCCGGGTCCTTGGCGCTCTC